GGGGGCGTGGCAGAGTCTTAACGTTGATAAAGAATATCTCTTTGGTTTTGAGACTTTAGTCTTTGCAACTTCAGGGATCTTATCTATGCACAATCAGCTTGTAACACTCCAAAGAGAAAGGAAAACTTGAAATCGCATCATATGACCCCTTTAATGCTAATTTTTGCTCAAGGACAGGATATCAGCAATCTTATTTGCTTTGCCTGCCAGCATTTTCTTTTTAATTTCAGTGTTCAATACAGTAGCCTACAAAACATGCAATTGAAAACAGGTTTCACTCACTATTCAGTTTAACTGGAGCTGGTTGTTCTGGTTGCCATCGATGTAATCCATTGCCTCACCACCTGATATCAGCCACAGGACAGCTCACATTAGACTACCCATACAGGTAGGTTCAAGTTTATAAACTTATTAAACTAACACCAACTGTAGATTCTCTTACCCAAGTCTCTGAAGAGGTATGGTTCATGATTTCTCAGAGCATAATAAAAGGCATTTTTCACTCTGTGTCCTCCAGCATTAAGCGCTTCAAAGAGCTTTCTCATTTTGCCCTGGTTGGTTTGTTCTGCTCTGATCTCTGAATATTTTTCCTCATGTATTATGTCCTTATTTTTTAGTTCATCTGCTATTGCCATCACTGAGGTAACCCTCTGAACAAGCGCAGCGTAGTTCCCATCCACAAACTGGGCCTCTGGGCATAACAAAAAGATCATACATAGCATTTTACGATTATTTGTCGGCTGTACATTAAAACAATATTTCAAGTTTTTGTAACACGTCATTATAAAAATACATAGCCTGGTTAATTATTTAAGCGTACAAAACAGAGATTTAGATTGGCATCAAACTATTGGAGTTTGTTCATTAAGATCGCGCCGCTTTTCTCGCTTACCAAAGCTGCTCATCGTGTCGGGTAACAGACCTTGATCCGCGAATTAAAACGAAACGCCGATCAGCGAAGTACTTTTTAAACGCTTAATATACCGCATCTAACACGCAATCGTAAAATTCAGCCTGTTTAACCGAACTAGTTTCACATAAAGAGAAAGTTGCACTCTTCACGTGGCGCCAGTGAAAAAAACGAAAGCAGTTTGACGTGTACATTAAGGCGGTACGTCCATCATCCATCACCCAGCTGCTTCACGCCATTTGTATATTAGTAGAATACTGTATCGCGTATAGCCTAGTTTCATTCACTGTAGTGCGTAACATCTCAAGTGTAATAGGCTATGCAAACATGCAGGGGCTGCGTTTATAAATGCAGAAATAACATTGGATGTTACTTTTTTAGAAACGTTGTATTTCGACCGTTTATTTTAGAAAACGGAGGCATTCTAGATGATCTTTTGACAGCAGACCGTTTGAAAAATGAAAACATCTGTTCAGAATTAAGACAAAACGTTATTTGGACACATTGTCCATAGTTAATGTGATGAACTACACCAGTGAATTTTTCACTATTAAAGTGAATCAGCAAGAAATGAGCAGCTAGTGCAGGGCTGTCCAAACTCGGTCCTGGAGGGCCGGTGTCCTACAGAGTTTAGCTCCAACCAGTGTTGGGGCAAGTTACTATTAAAAGTAATGCATTACAATACTGCCTTACTCCCTAAAAAAATAACTAATTACGTTACTTAGTTACTTTTTATGGAAAGTAATGCGTTATATTACTTTAGCGTTACTTTCACGTTACTTTTTAAATATGAACAGGGCTTGATAGGCAAGTTGGAGCTAAACTCTGCAGGACACCGGCCCTCCAGGACCGAGTTTGGACAGCCCTGAACTAGTACTTAATGCACATGAATGGAGGCGTAGCAGAGAATAGGGTTATTTATTCAGACTTGTCCCACCAGCCTTTACTGTAGTCACTGATGTCCAAATATGATTTAGAAAAGATTACAGGAACGACACAATATTTCACTACATGACTTCAAATGAGAGCTGCTTCAGCATATAAATGTGTCAACATGTTAGTTTGGCTTCGTTTTAAAATTAATAACATCAATAACAACAAAAACTTAAGATTAAATAATAAAATCTACATCATTAGAAAACATACAACATAAACTACCCCAAAACAAAGTGCTATCGAAACAAAACAGGAAAAGTGCAAGATCATAGTATCAAACGATTTCACCTGTTTAACAAACCTATGTACCAACGCCTAAAACATTTCATTTGATGTTTTTAGCACTATGTATAGACTGACATTAAATAGGACACAGATTCCCTTCATCTACATTCAAAAATTCAATACTTTGAATCATGCCATCAATTCAGAGGCACTCACAAGGGCTGCAGACTGTTTCAAGCAAAAAGAGTATAATTCAAACATTAACCACTTTAAATGAGACTTACTTGACAGCATTTACAAAGGCAGTTTACATTAACATTGCTTTTGATATTTGCACGAGCAGCTGCATTTCGAAACAGCATTTGCAGCAGGTCATAATAATGTTCATTTTCAGGCAAGCATTGGACTGCCTGTACATCTTTCACTCAAACAGGTTGCATTCATATGGTTTGCAATGATACATAAAAAATGACTCAGATAATGAATACTGCATCTATTTCCAGAGGCTAGATTCAAACAGGCAAGTACAGATGTGTGGAAAGCAGACACATAGAGAGGAAGGCCACAGTATAGATCATATGACACCACTGAGTCTGTGTGGAGGGACGGTTCAGTGTTTGATAAAGGTTATTGAATGGGAAGCACATACATAAGCAAGCACACAGCAAAGCATCTCATCCCAATATGGCTCAGGGCCATCAGACACACTGGCAGTCAATCAGATAATATGTACATAAAAAGGCTTTGCACTTATTTCAGCCATTCACTGATAAAGAACTCAACTTCCAGGAACACAAAATAAATACACACTCATAACAAACAGACTCAAAACAGAAGCACAGCGCACACACATACTTTATATACATGTGCTGTTTCCATCTAGTGGCCAGAGCTGGCTCTACGTGGCCTCTGTCCAGAGTGTGACCGTGCGGTCAGCAGAGGAGGACAAGAAGGAGAGGTGATGTGTGTGCCACCTGCACTGAATCACTTTATCAGCATGCTCTCCCACAACGGTCAATGGCAGCTGCTTTGTCAGGTCACCTGTGCACACATACAGTCATCCAAAACATAATTGCTTTAAAACATACTGTAAATGCTTAAAAATGTTAAAATACATATTTACATTTACAAAATGTATTATTGTCATTTTTTTTCTTTTCTTTTGACTGTGGGAAACATGATAAAATATTTTGTGTTGCCCCTTTGTCACACATTGAATACATGGAGGAAAATTACGCAAACATACTGTAAATGCTTAAAAATGTTAAAATACATATTTACATTTACAAAATGTATTATTGTAATTTTTTTTCTTTTCTTTTGACTGTGGGAAACCTGATAAAATATTTTGTGTTGCCCCTTTGACACACATTGAATACATGGAGGAAAATTACGCAAAAACAACAACATCAACAAAACTGAATATTTTCAGAATTTATTCAATTTCTTTTCCATTATGAGCTTTCTTCTTTCTACCTCCATGCAACCATGCAAAAATGTAAATAATTCAAAATGAATTTCTACACAGT